TTTCCAGGCGACAGAAAGCAGCGGCGGCACCGGAGCGCGGACGCCAGTGCCGGACGCCAGCCTCCCACGGAGCCTCCCCGCTGTCGGGGGACGGGCTTTGGAGCAGCGTGGTTCTCCCAGCGGGTTTCAGCGGGCTCTAAGCCGCGCTGACAAACCCCCAGCCCCGCGCAGAAACTTCCCCGGGCGCGGAGGGAACATCACATTCGTCTCCGGCGCTGCCGCACACCATCACAGTCAACAGGGGTTTAAAAAAAAAACCCAAACCAAACGCTTCAGCTCGTCTTGGAAGATCTCAGCTGTTCTCACCCCATAATCAGAAGAGTGATAAAAAAAGAAATAAAACCAACGCTATCTTTCCCAGCAAGGCTTTTCCCCCGGGGGCGGCCGGCTGCCACCCGGCACCGGGCCGAGCAGAGCGGCAGCCAAGGCGCCGCATCTCCTGTGAGACTCCGGAGGGAAGCGCTGTGCCCGGGCCCAAAGCTTTTGGCACTGCCAGGAACAATCTGGGAGTGTCACCGTGCCTCTGGCACAACCTTTCTGGCACAGGCAACGGCGCAGAAGCTTTGGAAGGAAAGTCCTCGGCATCCAGGCTCAGAGAGGAGCAGCTCTGCCCCGTCCAGCGCTACCCAGGAGCGCCCCGGGAGAGGTAGTCAAGACGCGACAAAGGCTCGGCCAGAAGCAGCATGCAGCAACGCTGACCCTGCTTTACCACAAAGCATGGAAGTCAGAACCCCAACAAAAAGAAAAAAAATAAAATAAAAATATTACAGCTACAACACGGAATCCAGTACATTCATCCCCGACCTCCCCTGAGCGCTGGCGTCTCACCAGCCAGGCTGCCTGCTGTCTCACAGCGTAGCTTCAGCTGAATTGCACTGTTTCCCCATCACAAAAAGCACCTAAAAATGAGGGTGTTCCCCCCCTCCCAGCTCTGTTCAGTTTCCCTCTCTCCCTAAAAGGCCACCCTGGAGCTCACACGCTTCGAGGCTCCCCCGTCTCAGAGGTCGCCCAGCAAACAGGGCGGGTTAACAAGGCACGGTGCTCCACACTCAGCAGCGGGCGCCCCAGCGCTCGCCGCCGCTGCGGAGTCCTTCCACCTTCCAGATTTTAACAAAGCTGGGAGGACCCGGTGGGTGGAGACCAACACCCGTGCCTCCACCGCTCTCCCACCCGCCCAGGGACGACCTGTCCCGGGAAGCGCCAGGAAACTCGGGAAAAAGCAGGAAGCGACAGACCATCTGCTGCACGCAGGCGAGTAACTGCGAGCTGCCACCCCGCCAGGGAGCTTCCCAGCTACGCTCACGCCGGACACTGGTGGATTAAAAAAAAACTTTGCCTGGCCTTTACATTTCCCACCCCAGTCTCCACCCTGGCTCCACGGAAGGGACCAACAGCATCCAGGGGTCCGACAGCAGCGAGCGGGACACTGCGTTATTCTGGGGGCTGCACGCTAGTTAAGTATTGATCCCCACGACAGCCCGCCTCTCCTCCACGCCGTAATCCCCCGGGTTGCTGCCACAACACGCTTTAAAAGTCACAGTGCCTCTCCTAACATTTAAAACCAGAGCGCCCAGTGGTTTCTGTGATGGAACATCTACGTTCTCAGCCGCAGGAACCACGCAGTGGTCCCTCAGAACCCGGTTTCCGCGGAGCGGAGACGCTTGCAAACGCATCGGCTTCTTCGCCCCTTCCCGACGTATGAGAGCTACGGCAGACAGCGTCAATGTCAAGCACGGATGAGCTTCGTCAGACTCTGAGAACGCAGGCGGACGGCCCGCGCGAGGCTAGATTTTGTACAAAAAGCTGGGGACATAGTCAAACCTGAGCAGAGGGCTGACCCCCCGGCCGGGTTCCTGAATGTACTGCAGCTTCAGCAGCTCAGCTAAATACTGCACAATTTTGAGATCTTCGTTGGCAAGGCCCAGTTGCAGCTTCAGAAAGTTCATCCGGCGATTCACGACGGATTCCTCCGGTTCCCTTTCACTGATGGGAAGGTGCAAATGATGGCAGAAGGTGAAGAGGAAGGCTTTCGAACACAGCTGGGTGAGGACGCTTTGGACGTGCATATAGTAGGTGCTTCCTCGTTTGATCTGCGTGCGGTGGTCTGCCAGCCGGGACACCAAGGTGCCTTTGTAAAGCGGGCAGCGGAGAGTCTTACTGTCGGCGTCCAGAACGCTGACGTACCGGCTGTAGCGGCTCAGGGCATGCAGCACGTTCACCCCGGCGGGCGAGGCCATCCTGAAACGGCAAGGAGAGAGGTGACAGACTGTGCCCGTGCCCCCGTACCGCATGTGCCTTCCCTCTAGTTCACAAGCTGGTACGCGAGGCTCCGCACGCAAACATGGAGAGAGAACGGCCAGATATCTGGAGTACTCTGTCCAGTGCTGGGCTCCCCAGTTCAAGAAAGATGAGGAGCTACTGGAGACAGTCCAGTGCAGGGCTATGAGGATGAGGAGGGGACTGGAGCATCTCTCCCGCGAGGAGAGGCTGAGGGAGCTGGGCTTGTTCAGCCTGGAGAAGAGAAGGCTGAGAGGGGACCTTAGAAATGCTTACAAATATCTGCAGGGTGGG